TTGAGAATCCCATGCAAACTGAGGGATACCCTCCCCAGAAAAATGCACATACAAAACTATGCATGCAATACAAAATGTTCACAGCAGCACTATTCACAACAGCCAAAAGGTGAAAACAAAACAAAAGGTGTAGCACATGGGTTCATCACATTGTGCTACAATGAGGCCCGTCCGCACAGTGAAGTAAGTTATGGATTGAATTGTGTCCCCGCAAAATACAAGTTGTAAATCCTAACCCCTAAACCTCTGGTTATAATCCCACTTAGGAATGGGTTTTCTTTGTTACGCTAATGAGACAGTATTAGTACAGGGTATGTCTTAAGTCAATCCTTTTGAGATATAAAAGAGCAGATTAAGCAAGCAAGCCAGCGCAAACGGAGGGGAAGATCCACGCCATGTGATTACCAAGAAACCCAGGAATAGAAGCTGAAAAGAGACAAGGACCTTCCTCCAGAGCCTACAGAGAGAGAGCCTTCCTCTAGAGCCAGTGCCCTGAATTTGGACTTCTGGTCTCCTAAACTGTGAGAAACTAAATTTCTGTTCCTTAAAGCCACCCACTTGTGGTATTTCTGTGAAGGCAGCACTAGATAACTAAGACACAATATTATTCAATCATAAAGAGAAATGAAGTTCAGATCCATGCTACGACACGGATGAACCTTGAAGACGTGATGCTGAGTGAAATCAGCCAGACACAAAAGGACAAAGATTGTACGACCTCACTTACGTGGAATATCTACAACAGGCAAATGCACAGAGACAAAAAGTAGATTAGAGATCAACAGGGGCTGGGAGGAGAGGGAATGGGGGTTATTTCTGAAGGGGCACTGAATTTCTGTTTGAGTGATGTAAGACTTCTGGAGGAATCCCTGGGTGGTGCGACAAGTTAACGTACTCGCTGCTAAATGAAAGGTGGGAGGTTCGAGTCCACCCAGAGGCGCATTGAAAGAAAGTCCTGGCCATCTACTTCCAAAAGATCAGCCCCTGAAAACCCTATGGAGCACAGTTCTACTCTGACACACACGGGGTTGCCACGAGTCAGACTCAACTCCACAGCAACTGGTAAGGGCGCAGTGGTGGTTCAGTGGTAGGATTCCCATCCTCCATTCAGGAGACCTGGGTTTGATTCTCAGCCAATGCACCTCATGCATAGCCACCACCTGTCTGTCATTGGTGGCTTGCATGCTGCTGTAATGCTGAGCAGGTTTCAGAGGAGCTTCTAGACTAAGACAGACGAGGAAGAAAGACCTGGCAATCTGCTTCCAAAAAAATCAGTCATTGAAAACCCTATGGAGCACAGTTCTATTCTGGTACAGATGGGGTCGCCATGAGTTGGAGTCAACTCAACAGCAACTGGTTTTTTAAGACTTTTGGAAACAGACAGTGGTGATGGTTGCACAACATGGTGAATGTAATTAATGCCACTGAATTATACACTTAAAAATGGTAAAAAAGGCAAACTTTTTGTTATACATATTTCACCGCAATGGATTTTTTAAAATATGCATTCAATATCAGAGACTTCACAAAATCTGCCAATAGGCTGGTACCTATCAACTACCACCGAAAAAAGGAGCAAAAACAAGCTGTAACATTGCTCCCGAGACACTATCACTGCAGACGTTTTATGGATCTCCCTCAGACTTCTTTCTTTGCATGTAGATACATTATTGTTGGCATGACCTTTGACAAAAACAGGATTGTACCACAGACAGTATTTTGTAACCTACTAATTTCATTTATACGTCACTGGATGGCGTAAACAGTTCGCACTGGACTGCTAACCTAAGGTTGGTGGTTCTAACACACCCAGTGGTACCACAGAAGAAAGGCCTGGCAATCTGCTTCCAGAAAAATTACAGCCTATGGAGCACAGTTCTACTCGGTAACGTGGGGTTGTCATGTGTTGGAGTCGACGCAACAGCATAAGGTTATTTTCACTTAGCAATGCTTGCTCGGTCAGTGTGGGATAGGCGAGACCACCCTGCCCGAGCCTGAGAAGGCACCTGTGGGAGACAGTGATTTATAACATAATGACCCATGCAATGCTCTTGTTGCTAAATAATAGAAAAGGTCTCAACTTAGAACCAGGACTAGAATTGAGGCCTCCCTCATCACTGGACTGTGGGCAGGTTGCCCTACCTCTTTGAGCTTCAGTCCTCGCCTGTAAAAGGCAGGTAATAAATTACCTCCCAGGAAATGTATGAACCACTCATCTTCTCAGATCCATATCCTTGCCCCAGCCTCTCCTCCACTCCAAGCTCATATTGGGCTGCCCCCTTGACAACTCGAACCTGCCAAGTCCAAATAGAAGTCTTCATTTTCCACCCAGCCCTGCCCCACCACCATTCCCTTCTGGGTAAGCAGCCCCTCCACTCACTCAGAGTCTCAGGCCCCAGGAGTCACACTCCACCCTGCTGCTCTCACCCCATGTCCAAGACAAATGGCTCCGCTATTTGCGGTCACAAGACAAACAGCCCCGCTGGCCCAGCCTGACCACGTTGCTCCATCTCCACGCACCATCCTAAAGCAGCCCCGTCATCTCTGGCTTGACACCTGTACAACCTCCAACTGTCTCCTTCACCTCTGCACCTGGTCTCCAGCAAGCTCCTACTGTGCATCTCTACTTGGATGATCCAGACAGCCCGTAACTCATATGCATTAGGACTGCCAAACGGCTTCCTCCTGGGTCCTCCTTATCTCCCAGGCATCACCCCAACTTCAAGACCCTGTCTGTCCAAATACTTGTTGTTACTATGTCCTGCCCATTCTATGTCCTGGTGATCTTGGGCTCATTGCCTTCTCTCTAATGCCTTCTCTCTACTGTAGGATTTCTTAACCCTGGCACCATTGAGATTTTGGGGCCAGACAATTCTTGGTTGTGGGGGGCTGCCTTGTGCATTGTAGTGTGTTTAGTAGCATCCTTGGCCTGCATCCACCAGATGACAAAAGCACCCTCTCCCAATCGTAACAACCAAAAATGTCTCCGGCCATTGCCAAATGTCCCCTAGGGAGCAAAATGTCCCCAGTTGAGAACCACTGCTATGTTCTCACTGGGCTGCCTTAGCTCAGGTCTTGTCTCCACCCAGCCTCAGACCCCCTAAGAGGTCCCCTGACTCCAGTCGTGCCTACAGCTCACGCCCTGAGGGACTCAGTGTTGTTTTTGTTGTCAGATGCTGTCAAGTCGACTTCTGCTCATTCATTACCTGGCTAGAAATCATTTGTTAACAATCCGATTTAAGTAACTCCAGTTTTAATGAAGTTATGGTTTGATGTGGACAAGGATGCACTGTCACCTGCCTGATTCTCCCCTTTCAAAGGTACAGAAAACAGATGCACATGTGCTTGGGAACTGGAATACCCCCCTGGAACGGTCCTCCTAAACATTTGGTCTCATAAGTAACCAAAGAAAGATGGATCAAGGCCACATGAGCATTTTCACCTACCTACTGGAAAAAAAAATTTTTAAATGAAACACCCAGAGTTGGCTAGGGTTGGTAAACCAACAATCATACTCTGCTAGTGGGAATGTAAATTGATGCCGCCATTTTGGAAAGCTCTTTGGCAATACCAACAAGATTCATAAAAATGTTCGTAAATTTTGATCCAGTAATTCCACTTCTGAAAGACTCTCCTAAACAAGCAATACCACGTATAGAAAAAGAAATCTACATACAAGTATGTTAGTAAGGCATCATTTTTAATATTAAAGGAAAGTGGAAACAACTAAATGGTCCAATCAATGGGGAAAAGGTCGACAAAATCTTAGTATATTGTCTCAACAGAACATTATGCCGCCACTCAAAGTGAGATCTATGAAGAGTATATAATAAATGAAAAGTACAAAACGTAAAATTGCATCTACAGCATGATTACAACTTTTTAAAACACACATACACATACTACGCAAGAGGAGAAAAACAAAAACAGGTGGAGAGGACTACAGATGATTTTTATTTCTTTCTACTTCTGAACTTTTCAAATTTTCTTTACTAGGCATGCATTACCTTAAAATGTTTTTTAATGGATTTTTTTAAGGGAAGAAATAAATTCAGTCCTTTAGATTAGGGCTATGTGACTATGGGAGGCCCCTGACAAAAGTATAAACACCATTAGCTAGAGACCTTGGGTCTCATAGGTGCTTAAAAACAGACCTTATCATGAACTGGTTTACCAGGTTCCCATTCCGTCCCCATGAGAGACTGGGACAAGGGATAGGTAAGTTGTGGTAAAAGGGCCAAGAGGAGGAACCTTAGGTGATACCCAAGGAGAGTCAGGGGTAGGGAGCAAGAGTGGGGACCCTGAGAATGTCATCAGCAGAGCTGATGTCCCAACATCTGTTTTCCAGCCACAAGAAAAACCTAGAAGCAGGGGGTCAGGAAGGGGGATGAGAGATCTCATTCACAGAGAAATAAGTTGTGTGTGTGGGGGGGGTCTCTCTCCTCAGAAGAGAAGGGATAGAACAGGCATGTGCTTGCCCCCACATACATACTTGCCAAAAAAATTCAGAGGGGCAGAATTTCTTCTCCTAGTGTCTGCAAAGTTTCAGACACAGATTGACGTGGAGTCCAACCTCCAACCTTAGCAATTAGAGCTATTTTCCTTATCCCAAATGTCAATGGCATCTATAACTAGACCTGGTCTCCACCTCTATCCCGAGTGAGTTCCATAACAGTCAGCTGGACCTAAAACCCTGCGACACCTCCAATGAGACCTCTGAAGATAGCTGGAAACCCTGAGTCACCTAGAAAAAGAAGGGGGAATTTCTGTAGCTGGAAAGACCTCACCTCAGAATGAACCCCATGAAACCAAACCGGGCAGGGTCAGCCCCAAAACGACTTCTCTACCTGTGCTCCTGGGGAGTTTCACAATGACTACATTTAGGGGGGTGGCATTTGACATTCGCTTATGGAATGAGAGACGGAAAGAGAGTTTTACGGGGTGCTCCCCCCATCCAGGACACCTACAAAGGGAAAAACCAGGTGGTCAAAACCACTGACCTTCTCCAACTTTTCAAAGTATTCCCGCAGGAATTTCATGGGACGGTCCGGCTTGGCGATGCATAGGTGCACGATACACTCTTTGAGCACCTGCTGGATGCTGTGCTTATGAACATACAGTTCACACCCTTTGAGACTCTCATCCTCCTCGGAGAGCCAAGGGGACGGACAAGCCATCATCAGAAAGTCTTCTTTCTTCCTGTTTAAGAAAACAGCAGGAGAGGAAAACACAGCTTGTAAGGCCTGAGAATGAGCTAGCCCAGGGGAGCCCTAGGCAGCACTCCCATGTTTTATGAATATATACTTTGTAAAGGTTATTGTTCTGTGGTCCTGTCAGATGAATGGTGCAACATGGAAGAAAATATTCCGATTTGCACCTGTCATAAATCTTTCATCTCGTAGGCCTAGATGAGTCCTTAACAGGGCTTCGAACCGGTTCATTTCAGTTCGAGCCCTTGCTGAGAATGTGCATCTCTAACAAGTTCCCAGAAGATGCTAATACTGCTGGTTAGGGGCCAGTTCTGAGAACCACTAGTAGAGCATTGGTTCTCAAAATTTATTACACATAAGAATCACCTGGCGATCTTGTTAAAATGCAGATTCTGATTCAGTATACCTTAGGTAGAAATGTAAATTCTCAGCAGGGGTTTGAACTGGACCAAACCAGTTCAAAGCCCTGGACTAGCGAAGTAAATCATAAAACCAAAAACCAAACCAGTTGCTGTGGAGTCAATTTCGACTCATGGTGACTTCACCTGTGTCAGAATAGAACTGTGCTCCGTAGGGTTTTCAGTGGTTGTGGCCTTTTGGAAGCAGATCACCAGGCCTTTCTTCTGAGGGCCTCTGGGTGGGTTTGAACTGCCAACCTTTTGGTTAAGTACTTCTAATATATCATAACCACCATAAAAGCCTTATTTCTAGACAGATCTGTGTAGAAATCTAAGAGGTTCAAACAGTATTTGCAGGTGATTTAGAAAACCCCTTCTGTTTCCCTGAGAAGTTGAGGAGGAATCCGGGAGTGCAAGCAATGGGGAGGCCAGGACAATGCCAAGGAGGAATATAGGCAGGACCCTCGGACCCACCCATTGGAATTCTCCATGAGATATCAGCGGGGGAGGAGATCAGAGAGCTGCTGTTACAGGTTCGTGCTGACCTGCTGTACAGGCAAAAAGAAAAAGGGGCAAAAACTAAAAACCAGCTGAGGGGTCTTCTTGAAGGATGGAAAACCCAGAACAATGGCAGGAGCTGGGCCGACTTCTAAGCGACGCTGACTGCGCCCCCAACGCAGGCGTTAAATCACAATGAGCTGGGTCATGGAATGTGCCCCCGCGCCGAACCCCTCTCCCCCTGCCCCCGACCGCCGAGGCTCCAGGAAAGGCGACTCCGTGAGTTCCCGCGACCGCGGCCCGCCCCACCGGCCCACTCACTCACTCAGAGACATGCCGCTTCGCACCCGGCCTTTGCGCCCGGCGGGGGTTCAAGCCGGAGGGACCCGGAGGAGGCGACGCGGGGGGGTGGGGGCCACCGGGTCCAGGACAACCCCCAGGATCAGGATGGGGTCGCCTGGCCTTCCCTGGAGCTACCAGTAGGGGTGACACCGGGGCCGGACCCCTCCCCAAGGACCAGGATGGGGAGCTGGGCTCTCCCCGGGGCTACTAGCTGGGATGACACCAGAACCAGGACACCCCTCAAGGATCAGGAGGGGGACACTGGGGCCGGGACGCCCCCGCTGTGGCTCGATGGGGCCGTGGCTGCCCTTCCCTCCCCGGTCCGGGTTCCACCTCAGACACCGCATCCCCAAAGGGGGAGGGAGACATTTTCCTGTCATTTCCGAATTTCCTCCGCGTCCTGGGTGGGAGGGGCTCCCTGAGGCCTGGCCCAGAGGCCCAGCCTCCCACCAAGGCCAAAGGTCCCGCTGCAGACCCCCGGTCCCCCAGCCCCGGGCGTACCTGGATGCGCGGAGACCGGAGGCGGCTGCGGTACAGAGATCGCGGGTGGGGCGGACCGGCTGGAGTTGGGGTGGGGGTGGAGGCCAGGTGGCTGCGATTGGTCCCGCGCCGTGAGGTGCCGCCCCCTCCACGCCGGCACCGCCCCGTGTCACCCCCCTACGGCGGCCTCCCAGCCTCACCGACCCCCCTCCACCTTGGGCTTCCGCGGACACCCGCTCCGGCTTTCTGGTCCTGCGGACCCCCCAACCCCGGCCTGGCCTCCCCCGTCCCGCGGACCCCCCTGCTGCGCCCCCGCTGAGCAACCCCTCCTGCCTCCCCACCCCGGCGGGCCTCCCACCCCCTCTTTCTCCTCCCCCGCTTCTCTCTCCCTTGTCTCCATACCCCCTACTCTGGCCTCCTCAACCCAGGCCTCCTCTCCCGCCCCTGGTTGCTCTCCACCTTCCGTGCCCTGCTGAGCCGCTCCGCGGGGCACCTGGCTGGCCAGGCTCCCGGACTCACAGCGTGGACAGGCCTCTCACTAGACAGACAGACCCACAGAGGCGCCACTTATGAGCAACCCACCACCCCCACTACCACTCTGCCTCCTGCTTGCCCCCACCCCCCACCCTGCAGAAGCCTGCGATCGCCTTCAGCTCATTGCCGCCAGCACCCTGCCCTCTGCGCTCCTGGTACTCAGCCGCTCCCCTGGCGTGTCTAGGGGTGCGGGCCGGGCCAGCACACCCACCTTCCAGGGTCTATCACTGGGGGCCGGACGGGTGGCCAGCGCTGAGGAATCCCCACGGTGAAGCAAGCTGATTTCCTTTCTTGGTTAAAGGGTGCCCACTTCACCCAGATGGCCCAGTGGACAATGGCAGGGTGGTCCTCAGATTTTTCCCCACCATCCATGGAGTCCAGGTGGTCTCTGGAACCTGGAAAGAGCCCTTCGAGGACCTACTGGCAGTGATAACCTAACCTACAGCCCAGGCCTCAGGAAACACCACTGTCCCTATGTTTCTATGACTCAACCTCCTGTTTTGCCTACACTGGCAGAGTCCTTACCAACACCATTGAATGGCCCATGATAATGGAGGGGTGGTGGTGTCTGAGCACAGGTCAGCCAGGGAAGCTAACTGGAGGATCTCAGGAGCCAACATCCCTGAGGAAAGCCAAGGGTCCCTCACGAGCTGGCTCAGCAAACCCAGTGGACCACAATGCTGGTGTCAACAGGTAGGTTGCCACCTGGCTGGACCTTGACCCATTCTGGCTTTTGTGATGGGTTATCAATTCAAATGTCCCAGTGAATCCCAATTAGTTTTCCTCAGCTCATCTGTTATTTTCCATCATTGTTGTTTTGTGATGTGCAGTCGATTCCGACTGTGACAAAGTAGAACTGCTCCATAGGGTTTTCTTGTCTGTAATCTTTTTGGAAACAGATTGCCAGGCCTTTTCTTCCACGGTGCCTCTGGGTGCCAACCTTTCAGTTATCAGCCCAACACAAACTGTTTTGCACCACCCAGGGACCTTTAGCCGAAGGCATTCACATTTCCCAGCGCTGAGGATCCTTCCTTCACCCTCAGAACCTGATTCTAGGGTTCATCAAGTGATCAAGCTCACAGTGACCAAGCCTTGCAAAGACCCAACCCTACTCATTAACTCCCACCCAAAAACCCACTGCTGTCGAGTCCATTCTGACTTATAGCGACCACCTAGGGTTTCCAAAGCTGTAAATCCCTACGGAAGCAGACCGCCACATCTTTCTCCCACGGAGCCGCTGGTGGTTTCGAACCGCCAACCTTTGGGTTAGCAGTCGATTACTTTAACCACTACACCACCAGGGCTCCTTCCATTACCCCCACCCACCCTTAAATTCTTTTCTCCCGCCAAGGTTCAACTTAAGTGTTACTTCCGCAGGGAACTTCCCAAAGGCCCCTTGCACCCCAACATGATTCAGGTCATCTGAAGTCCCCACCCAAGGTTCCTGTACCTTTCCTTCATAGCGCTTATCACACGTGTGTGGAATTATTATGCAAGAGGTTGTTGGTTTAATTTCTGTCTCCCTGCTATGCTGAAGGCACCAAGCTGGCAGAGAGAGTGGCTGCCTGGTTCTTTACCCACTGTGTGTGGCAAGGAGAAAATTCAATCCATATTTTCTGGGTTACAGAAAGAAAACAGGAGCGTTCATTAAGCCACAGTGGAGAGGCTGCAGAGCACTGTGGTTGAGATGGGCCGTGTTGTGGGTTGAATTTTGTCCCCTAAAAAGATGTGATAAAGTCCTAACTCCAGACGTTACCTTGTTTGGAAATAGGGTCTTTGAAGATATTATCAGTTAATACGGAGTAGGGCAGGCCCTAATCCAATCTGAGTGGTGTCCTTATAAAAGAAGAGACAGGGAGAGAGATGGACACCATGTAATGACAGAGGCAGACATAGCTGCAAGCCAAGGAACATCAAGGAATGCCTGGAGTCACCAGAAGATGGGAGGGTGGAGTGGAACAGTGCCTCTTTGAGCCTCAGAAGGAATCAACACTGCCAACACCTTGATCTCAGACTCCCAGCCCTCCAGAGCTGTGAGACAGTAAATTTCTGTTCTTATAAGCCCCCAAGTTTGTAGTATTTTGTTACAGCAGCTCCAGGACACTCACAGAGGCTCTGTAGGTAGGCTTTCTGGGGCTGAATCCCGATTCTCCCACTGAGCACTTGCGACATAATGCATGTGAAAATAGTGGACAGCGACAGGACTAAGAACTTTATCTGGGCACAGTCATTAAACCCTAAAATCAAAGTAGATAATGATTCTTGAGGAACTGAGGTGAGGCAAGGCCAAAATCGAGGCTAAGAGGCCAACACCAAGTGAGAATCCAGGACCATGAGCAAAAATAATTATGATTCTTACAGCTGAGTCCACTCCCCAGGGAGTTGGATAATTTCTCTCTGGAGAAGACACCTTCCTGGACTCCACAGGGATGCAAGTGATGAGACCACAGGGGAGGAGAGAGCTAAGGATGGAGGATGGAGGAGATGAAAGGAGGGTAGATGTTCCTGACAACATGGCAGCAGGAAGGGGGCTTCTGAAGAAACTTCAACCATGAGAAACTCCCCCTGATGGAGGGAGCAGGAGGACTTTATATAAGAACAGCGTCCTCGAATGTTCAGTTTGTTTACTGTGTGGGTCTGGGAGGCAAATCCCCCATCACCACAGAATCTAGATGAAGTCTGGCCTCACACACTACTCCCTGGTATGGTCTTGAGGGG